TGGGTTCTTCGTCATCTTGATACACGACTGATTGTCTTCATGGATCATGAGTTCCGGTCCTTCTTCATTGGCAGCCATCACGATCTCACAAAGCAGACGATGAATCCACTTGCCCTCTTGAATCGCCAAGCTGAGTGCGATGTATTCGGCTTCACTCGTGGACAACGAAACACTTGGCTGCTTCTTGCTGCCCCAACTGACTGGCGCACCGAGTAGCATGAACGTGTACCCCGATGTTGACTTGCGGTCGGTAAGATCACCAGCCCAATCCGCATCCGAATATCCACGGAAGTCGATCCTTGCACTTGGCTTGTAGCAAATTCCATGCGTCTTGGTGCCTTGTAGGTAGCGAAAGATACGCTTAACTGCAACCCAGTGTTCTTCTTGGGGATTTTCCATGAACCGCGACACATAGCCCACAGCAAACGCAATGTCCGGACGCGTTGCAGTGGTCAGGTGCATCAACGCACCAACAGCTTCGCGAAAAGGAGCATCGACCTTGGTAGTTGCATCACTTGAAACAAGTCGAGAGCTCATGTCGACTGGACTTGCGACTGCCTTGCAATCATCCATGCCAAAGCGCTTGAGGATATCATCGACATACCGACGCTGACATAGTGTCACACTGCCATCTTCACCGTCCAAAAGCTCGATCCCAAGAACAAACGCACACTTGCCGCTGTCCGTCATTTCGAACCGCGTCTTCAGGTCGTTCTTGGTTTGTGCAATCAGCTCGAGCGAGCTTCCAGTCACCAAGACGTCGTCCACGTAGACCAGTATAAACACGCAATGGCCGTCCGAAGTCTTGATGTAGAGACATGGGTCGAAGTCCGATACTTGAAATCCGATGGAGCACACATACTCGTCGAACGTCTCGTTCCACACTCGCGACGCTTGCTTGAGGCCGTAAATTGACTTCACCAATTCCAGGCAGTCGAACGTACTGTCAAGTTCGACGCCTTCAGGAATCACGCAGAACACTTGTTCCTTCATGACGCCATACAGGAAAGCTGTCACCACATCAAGCTGGTCGATGGGCCATCCAAAATGCTTGGAAATTGCGATCACCATTCGCAGCGTCACATACTTGACCACAGGCGAAAACGTCTCCGTGTAGTCGATGCCATACTTTTGGCGGAAACCCTTGGCCACAAGTCGTGCCTTGTACTTCTCGATTGACCCATCCGCCTTGCGCTTGATCTTGAACACCCATTTTGTGCCAATGGCGCGTTGTCCGTTGGGCAGCTTGGCTGCACGAAACACACCGCGAAGTCGCATTGACTCGAGCTCTGCATGAATTGCTTTTCTCCAGTGCACTTGGTCAGGGCCGCTTACTGCTGCTTCAAATGTTGAGGGTTCTGATAAGTCCACTGCTGCTTCAACGGCATTTGCACTCGCACGCCAAAACACAGGCGGTGTTGAATCACCAGAATCCTTCGTTTCTTCGTCTTCTTCTTGTCGTGACGAGTTGTTTTCCGGCGCGCTTGACTCTTCTAGTCCTGGTCGTTGACGCACTGCACGCGGTCGTGGAGCTGCTGTATCTTCATCATTGAGTCGGTTCTTGCGCTTGCCTGTTTGCTTGTACTCCATTTGACGCAGCTCTTCGTCATCAAGATCCAGCAATTCGAAGTCCAGGTCATCGACATCTTCATCAGTGATCGGCAGTTGAAGTCCAAAGGTGGACTCGTCGAAGTTGACATCGCGGCTGATAACCACCTGCCCCGCCTCGATGTCATAAACACGATATGCCTTCGAAACTTCTTCGTAGCCCACGAATATGCCAGCGCGAGCCTTTGGATCCCACTTGAGTCGATTCTCTTTAGGCGTCAGTATGTATGTCTGACACCCGAATGTTCGCATGTGCTTGACGCTTGGTTTCAAGTTGTAGACGATCTCAAACGGGGTCTTGTGCACGACTTTAGGTGACGGCAGTCGATTCTTGACGTAGATGGCCGTCATCGCTGCTTCGGCCCAGAAACACTTGTCCAGTTTGGCATGATGAAGCATGCTGCGGCCGATCGTGACAATAGTCCTAATGGCACGCTCTGCTGTTCCGTTTGTTTGATGTGCATACGGCACCGTTGTCTGCTGTTCAATGCCTTCGTCTTCGTAGAACAGTTGAAGCGAGTTGGTTGCAAACTCGCGAGCTCCGTCGTGTCGCACGAACTTGACCTTCTTACAGAATTGCGTCTGTACCATGGTGATATATTTCCGGATGTAGTCTTCACTCTCGGACTTCACTCGTAGACAAAAGCCCTTCATGCATCCACTGGCTTCGTCGATGATCAGCAGCAAATATTTGCTGCCACCGAGCGAATCCTTTTCCATGGGCCCGCAGATGTCCAGATGAAGTAGCTCAAACGTATCGTAGCTGCGCTTGTCTCGGTTGCTTGGAAATGGTTTTTGGACCATTTTCCCTTGTTGACATCCTCGACATGTAGTTGCTCCACCCGACTTGAGAGGGACTCGCACATCCTTGATCATGTTGGTCGCGATCATCTTGCGAAGTACATCGACTGGAGCATGACCCATTCTCGCATGTAGATCGGCACAACTGGTTCCACTTGTTGTCACATTCGCTGATCGTTGAGTCGTCCGAAGCCAGTAGAGTCCATCCACGAGATCCGCTGTCGCCACCACTTGCTGTGAGTTCTTGAGAGTCACATACATCTTGGACCCGTCAAACACGACTTGAAACTTGCCATGGCTGTTAATCTGTGGCACCGAGAGCAGGTTCTTGCTCATACTTGGAACATATAGCGCGTTCTTGATTTCGATCTCACGCTCTTCACCGTTGGGCAGAACCACCTTTCCATGATGGTTCCCACACCCTTGATGGCCACCTTGTTGCCATCAGCCACCAAGAGTTCGCCCTCATTGCGCTCTGCCAAACTTGCGAACTTGGTCTTGTCGTGGCAAATGTGGTGCGTTGCACCACTGTCGACGGCCCACATTCCAGACACGTCCATGCTCGTCGAAACTCCACATTCGAACGAGACTGCAAACGCCACTCGATCGTAGCCATTGCCTTCATCATGATGTCCCCACTGGACATTGTTAGCCCCGCGTCCACGACCATTGCCGCCGCGTCGGGCTCCCCGACCTTCGTTCTTCTGCTTTGTCCAGCAACGATCCACCGTGTGTCCCACCTTGCCACAATACGTGCATTGGTAGGGCTCACGCTCGGCGCTGAATGCCTTGCTTGCATCTTCAGCCTTCACCGTAGTCGCTGTCGTTGTCCCTTTTTCTCCTTGACGCTTGGCATGCTCATTCGTCAGGACTCTCACCACATCTTGAGTGCGAAGCTCGGTGCTGCTCATTTCCATGTTGAGCACCACATTTTCGTAGCTCTTCGGAAGACTGAGTAGCAGACAAATTGCAACGTCTTCGTCTTCCATCTTCGCACCGATGCCGCTAAGCTTGGCGGAGATGTTGAGGACCTCGTTGCAGTGATGCATGACGTTCGCGCCTTCAGCCATCTTGATACTGAAAAGTTGTCGCTTGAGGTAGATGCGTCCTGCCTTCTGCGACCCACCGTACAGCGTCTTCAGACTTGTCCACGCAACCCAGGCTTCCTCGCAGTTGTCCAGCACATGATGGTAGTCCGCGTTCATGTGCAGCAGCATCATACCAAACGCGACGTTGCTTGCCTTGACGTAGTCATCGGACGCTCGCGGGTCGGTGAAAGTCGGAGTCACTTCACGGTTGACAACGTGCCAGACGGACTTCGTCAAAAACACACCGCGCATGTACCGGCTCCACGTTGCGTAATTGTCTCCGTTGAACTTGTCAATGGAGGCGTTGCTGGTGGACGACATGGCGCTTGGGCTCATAACCTGTTGCATTGTAGATCGGAGCGAGGAAAGCGGAGCAAACGGAGCGGAGAGACCGAAGAGAGTAGAGCAGAAAACACTTGCCCAATAGTTGGAAGATTCGAAAGTGATTGATTATCGGGGCTTACTACTTACTACATGATTTATATGTGGTGTACATATAAATCATGTGAAGCGTCTCATCATCCTACGCGTCTAATCAACTATGGTAATTACCGTAAGAACTACGTCGTAAATACTAAGCTGAACAGGCGGTTCGGATTGGATCGGTCACGGTTACCAATACTGGTAGAAAACCGATGACCGTCAACACCGTCGACAGTGGTGCAACGCACCACATTTGCCACGACAAGACCAAGTTCGCAAGTTTGGCAGAGCGCAATGAGGGCGAACTCTTGGTGGCTGATGGCAACAAGGTGGCCATCAAGGGTGTGGGAACCATCATGGAAAAGGTGGTTCTGCCCAACGGTGAAGAGCGTGAGATCGAAATCAAGAACGCGCTATATGTTCCAAGTATGAGCAAGAACCTGCTCTCGGTGCCACAGATTAACAGCCATGGCAACTTTCAAGTCGTGTTTGACGGGTCCAAGATGTATGTGACTCTAAGAAAAAAGTGGGGCGACAGGGATCGTGGATGGACTCTACTGGCTTCGGACGACTCAACGATCAGCGAATGTGACAACAAGTGGAACCAGTTGTGCCGATCTACATGCGAGAATGGGTCATGCTCCAGTCGATGTACTTCGCAAGATGATCGCGACCAACATGATCAAGGATGTGCGAGTCCCTCTCAAGTCGGGTGGAGCAACTACATGTCGAGGATGTCAACAAGGGAAAATGGTCCAAAAACCATTTCCAAGCAACCGAGACAAGCGCAGCTACGATACGTTTGAGCTACTTCATCTGGACATCTGCGGGCCCATGGAAAAGGATTCGCTCGGTGGCAGCAAATATTTGCTGCTGATCATCGACGAAGCCAGTGGATGCATGAAGGGCTTTTGTCTACGAGTGAAGTCCGAGAGTGAAGACTACATCCGGAAATATATCACCATGGTACAGACGCAATTCTGTAAGAAGGTCAAGTTCGTGCGACACGACGGAGCTCGCGAGTTTGCAACCAACTCGCTTCAACTGTTCTACGAAGACGAAGGCATTGAACAGCAGACAACGGTGCCGTATGCACATCAAACAAACGGAACAGCAGAGCGTGCCATTAGGACTATTGTCACGATCGGCCGCAGCATGCTTCATCATGCCAAACTGGACAAGTGTTTCTGGGCCGAAGCAGCGATGACGGCCATCTACGTCAAGAATCGACTGCCGTCACCTAAAGTCGTGCACAAGACCCCGTTTGAGATCGTCTACAACTTGAAACCAAGCGTCAAGCACATGCGAACATTCGGGTGTCAGACATACATACTGACGCCTAAAGAGAATCGACTCAAGTGGGATCCAAAGGCTCGCGCTGGCATATTCGTGGGCTACGAAGAAGTTTCGAAGGCATATCGTGTTTATGACATCGAGGCGGGGCAGGTGGTTATCAGCCGCGATGTCAACTTCGACGAGTCCACCTTTGGACTTCAACTGCCGATCACTGATGAAGATGTCGATGACCTGGACTTCGAATTGCTGGATCTTGATGACGAAGAGCTGCGTCAAATGGAGTACAAGCAAACAGGCAAGCGCAAGAACCGACTCAATGATGAAGATACAGCAGCTCCACGACCGCGTGCAGTGCGTCAACGACCAGGACTAGAAGAGTCAAGCGCGCCGGAAAACAACTCGTCACGACAAGAAGAAGACGAAGAAACGAAGGATTCTGGTGATTCAACACCGCCTGTGTTTTGGCGTGCGAGTGCAAATGCCGTTGAAGCAGCAGTGGACTTATCAGAACCCTCAACATTTGAAGCAGCAGTAAGCGGCCCTGACCAAGTGCACTGGAGAAAAGCAATTCATGCAGAGCTCGAGTCAATGCGACTTCGCGGTGTGTTTCGTGCAGCCAAGCTGCCCAACGGACAACGCGCCATTGGCACAAAATGGGTGTTCAAGATCAAGCGCAAGGCGGATGGGTCAATCGAGAAGTACAAGGCACGACTTGTGGCCAAGGGTTTCCGCCAAAAGTATGGCATCGACTACACGGAGACGTTTTCGCCTGTGGTCAAGTATGTGACGCTGCGAATGGTGATCGCAATTTCCAAGCATTTTGGATGGCCCATCGACCAGCTTGATGTGGTGACAGCTTTCCTGTATGGCGTCATGAAGGAACAAGTGTTCTGCGTGATTCCTGAAGGCGTCGAACTTGACAGTACGTTCGACTGCCTGGAATTGGTGAAGTCAATTTACGGCCTCAAGCAAGCGTCGCGAGTGTGGAACGAGACGTTCGACGAGTATGTGTGCTCCATCGGATTTCAAGTATCGGACTTCGACCCATGTCTCTACATCAAGACTTCGGACGGCCATTGCGTGTTTATACTGGTCTACGTGGACGACGTCTTGGTGACTGGAAGCTCGCTCGAGCTGATTGCACAAACCAAGAACGACCTGAAGACGCGGTTCGAAATGACGGACAGCGGCAAGTGTGCGTTTGTTCTTGGGATCGAGCTTTTGGACGGTGAAGATGGCAGTGTGACACTATGTCAGCGTCGGTATGTCGATGATATCCTCAAGCGCTTTGGCATGGATGATTGCAAGGCAGTCGCAAGTCCAGTCGACATGAGCTCTCGACTTGTTTCAAGTGATGCAACTACCAAGGTCGATGCTCCTTTTCGCGAAGCTGTTGGTGCGTTGATGCACCTGACCACTGCAACGCGTCCGGACATTGCGTTTGCTGTGGGCTATGTGTCGCGGTTCATGGAAAATCCCCAAGAAGAACACTGGGTTGCAGTTAAGCGTATCTTTCGCTACCTACAAGGCACCAAGACGCATGGAATTTGCTACAAGCCAAGTGCAAGGATCGACTTCCGTGGATATTCGGATGCGGATTGGGCTGGTGATCTTACCGACCGCAAGTCAACATCGGGGTACACGTTCATGCTACTCGGTGCGCCAGTCAGTTGGGGCAGCAAGAAGCAGCCAAGTGTTTCGTTGTCCACGAGTGAAGCCGAATACATCGCACTCAGCTTGGCGATTCAAGAGGGCAAGTGGATTCATCGTCTGCTTTGTGAGATCGTGATGGCTGCCAATGAAGAAGGACCGGAACTCATGATTCATGAAGACAATCAGTCATGTATCAAGATGACGAAGAACCCAGTCAACCACGGCCGTGCCAAGCACATTGATATCAAGTACCATCACATCCGTGATGAGGTCAAGCGTGGTGAAGTGAAGCTCAAGTACTGTGAAACTGCGGTGATGTTAGCGGACATCATGACGAAGGGACTTCACGGGCCACGCCACAAGGAGATGACGGCGACTCTCGGGATTCGTGAGCATTCGGATTGAGGGGGCGTGTTGACGGTCATCGATTTCTACCAGTATTGGTAACCGTGACCGATCTGTTGAAAAGACAGCGGCTGTGAAGAAGACACCTCGTCAAGCTGCGTCAAGTGTTGAAGCAAGTGGAAGACCAAGCTTCGCTATACCGGTGGGTACCGGTATGTACCAGTAAGGGCGAAGTCAGGAAATGACGTCACTGGATGACGTCATTGCATGACGTCAGTGGGTGACGTCAGTGGGTGACGTCACTGGATGACGTCACTGCGAATAATAGGCTTAGAGGTAGTATTCAAAGTTGCGAACTAAGTACCTATTATAAATATATATTTACTTTGCGTTTTGCACTCGGACCAAGAAGTCTAAAGTTCATCAGGTTATGAGCCCAAGTTCGTCAGACTCTGAAACCGCCAACAATTCAAGCTTAGCTGCCATGGACGCCTCCTCCCTCCGCATCTCCAAGTTCGATGGAACTAACTTCCACGCCTGGAAGTTCAAGATGCAGATGGTGCTGGAGGAACGGGACCTATGGGAGGTCGTCAGCGGTGAGATCAAGGCGGAACAGTGCGAGACTCAGTTGGACCAAGCGACGTACAAGAGGAAGTCAAGAAAGGCGATGGCAGTGATCTGTCTAGCCATGGAAGATTCCCAGCTACCGTTGGTCCGGTCGGCAAGTGGTGCATGCGACGCATGGTCAAGGTTGGAAGACCACTTCGAGAAGAAGAGTCTTGCCAACAAGCTGTTCTTGCGCCGTCGCTTCTTCACGACAATGATGGAAGAAGGCGACGATGTGCTCGAACACATCAACAAGCTCAAGACGCTGGCGGAACAGCTAGAAGCGGTGGGGGCTCCAGTCTGCGAGGACGATCTGGTGATCACACTCCTCGGCAGCCTGAGTGACTCGTATCAATTCTTGATCACAGCTTTGGAGTCGCGCTCAGACACTCTTAGCTGGGAGCTCGTGACGTCTCGACTGCTTCATGAAGAAATGAAGCGGAAGGAGCAAGGAAGTAAAGGTGATGAAGCTTCGCAAGGTCAAGCGTTCATCACAAGGGACAATCAGCGCAAAGGGCGACCAGTGAAGAAGTCCTGGCCGTGCCACAATTGCGGAAAGATTGGTCACTGGATGGCGGAGTGCCCCTCGCGCATCCAAGAAAACACGGAGAGACACCGGCCACAGCGTGCTCAAGACAGCGGCGACCGCTATCGATCACAACGTGCAAACGTCGCTCAAGAAGAAGACTCGGGCGACTACCTCTTTTCGATCGGTGAAACGACATCTGCGAAATCGAGCGACATCTGGCTGGTCGACTCAGGGGCGACGCAGCACATGACGTGCTCCAAGAAGTTCATGCGGAACTACAAGGGGTTTGACGCTGTGGATGTCCATCTCGCGGATGATGGAATCGTCCGAGCAATCGGCAGTGGGGACATTGTCATGTCGATGAAGACACCCCAAGGGATGAAGAAAGGTGTGCTCACAAACGTGTGGCACATCCCAAAGTTATCCAGAAACCTGTTCTCGGTCGGCCGCTTCACCAAGGATGTCGGCCCAGTGACGTTCACGAAGGATGGGTGCTATGGAGAAGCGAAAGGGACCAAGTGGAAAATTGGTGCCCGTGAAGGTAAAGGACTGTTCAAGCTGCAAATGACTCCAGTGGCGCCGGAACAAGCAAATGCAGCCAAGTCGTCGGGATGTCAAGGGGGCACCAAGTCGTACCTCTGGCACCTTCGGCTTGGCCACATAGGTCACGATGGACTCAATTGCATCGTGACGAAGAACATTGGAATTGGCATCGACATATCTTCGGTGAAGAAGTGGGATGTGTGTGAAGGTTGTGCTCTGGGAAAACAGACTCGAGTGCGCTTCCAATCAAACACTACAGCTCGCACCTCCAAACTCCTCGAAGTGATTCACAGCGACGTATGCGGACCGATGTCGATGGCAACTTTCAGTGGAAAACGGTACTTCGTGACATTCATTGATGACAAGTCAAGATACTGTGTCGTCTATCTGCTCAAGAGCAAATCTGAAGTTGCGGCGAAGTTCATGGAATACGCTGCGATGGCCGAAACGCAAACCGGAAAGCGCGTGAAGTACCTTCAAAGCGACAATGGGGGTGAATACAAGTCCGACAAGCTGGCACGATTCTGCGCGGAACGGGGAATTCAACAAAGGTTCACACCCCCATATACTCCTCAGCTAAACGGAGTAGCTGAGAGAATGAATCGCACGCTGGTCGAGTGTGCGCGTTGCATGATGGAACACGCTGGACTGGGAAAGAGCTACTGGGGTGAAGCAGTGATGACGGCGATGTTTCTTCGAAACCGCTGTCCAACACGTGCCATTCACCAAGACAAGTCTCCATATCAAGTGTGGACGATGAAGAAACCGATTCTGGCCAACCTTAAAGTGTTTGGATGCCACGCGTATGTTCAAGTGCCTCAAGACAAACGCGCGAAGTTCGACTCCAAGTCATCACTCTGTCGTTTCCTGGGATACGCCGAACACCAGAAGTCATATCGATTTGAGGAAGTGTCAACAGGAGCGATCAAGATCAGTCGCGATGCCACATTCATGGAAGACAAGTTTGATGAAGGTCCGCGCAACTACAACGATGAGTCAAGTGTCGTTGAGTTTGATGATCAAGACGAGGACGAAGAAAAAGAAGAAGGTAAAACTGACGACGACATGGACTCGAGCGACGATGACAACGAAGACACCAGGTCTTCGAAGAGCAACATCAAGAGACACACGCGCACTCAATCACTTGAGAAAGCTACCGTCATTCCAAGTCCCAAGCGAAGAACGTACAGAGGTCCGTCGCTTGAGCATGTGTCAGCGGCTGCAATGGATTTTGAAGCAGCCTACATCGTTGATTCAGTGGGGGAAACGCCGACTACATTCAAGTCGGCGATGGAATCAAGCGACTCCGGCAAGTGGAAAGAAGCGTGTGACTCGGAGTTCGATTCGCTTCAGAGAAACGACACGTGGGAAATCGTGCCTCTTCCGAAAGGTCGCAAGGCCATCGGGTGCCGATGGGTTTTTCGTGTAAAGGAGAATCAAGATGGCGAAGTTGAACGTTTCAAGGCAAGACTTGTGGCCAAAGGATTCTCACAGAAATTCGGAGTTGACTATGAAGAAACTTTCGCACCGGTGGCCAAGTTCACATCGATTCGTGTGGTGCTCAGTATGGCGGCTAAGTACGGCCTAATGCTACATCAGATGGACGTCAAGACAGCGTTTCTTAACGGCTCCCTCAACGAAGACATCTACATGGACCAGCCGGACGGATACCTGGATGCAACACAGCCGGACTATGTGTGCAAGCTAAAGAGATCACTCTACGGCTTGAAGCAATCGCCTCGCATGTGGAACCAAACAATCGATGGGTTCATGATCAAGATGGGATTCAAGAAGTGCGAATCGGACCACTGCATCTACATCAAGCGAGACGACCAAGACATGATTCTCGTGGTGCTCTACGTCGATGATCTCATCCTGGCCAGCAGCAACAACGAACTCCTCAAGTCGACCAAGATGGCGCTGAGCAAACGCTTCGAAATGACGGATCTCGGTGAGCTCGATTACTTTCTCGGCATGGAGATCAAGAACGACCGTAAGACGGGAATGGTGACTGTGCAACAAACCAAGTTTCTCAAGTCCGTGTTGACCAAGTTCGGAATGGATAACAGCAAGCCAGTGAAGACGCCTCAAGATCCCGGCCTGAAGCTAACCAAGAACATGTGTGAACAAGAATGCAAGCACGAAGACACCATGTGCAACGTGCCATATCGAAGTGCTGTCGGAGGCATCATGTATCTCATGGTCGCCACACGTCCGGATCTAGCTGCTGCAGTGGGATCATTATCCCAGTTCTCGTCCGACCCATGCCCGACTCACTGGCAAGCTTTGAAGCGTGTGCTGAGATACCTGCAAGCAACGCCCAATCACGGTCTTGAGTTTACACGTGAAGAAGGAAGCCGTATCTGCGGGTACACCGACGCAGACTGGGCCGGCGACATTGAGTCAAGACGAAGTACAAGCGGCTATGTGTTCATGATGAGCGGAGGATGCATCAGCTGGAAAAGCCAGAAACAACGGACGGTCGCGCTATCTTCAACAGAAGCAGAATACATGGCGCTTTCCGAAGCAACCAAAGAAGCAGTATGGCTCAAAGTGCTTTTGGGGGAACTTGGTGAGATGACAAGCGACGAAGCGATCAAGATGTATGAAGACAACCAAGGATCAATCGCTCTCGCCAAGAACCCGGAGTTCCATAAGAGAACAAAACACATCGACATACGCTACCATTTTGTGCGTGAGAAGGTGGAATCAGGTGAAGTCGTTTTGGAGTATTGCCCGACTCAAGATATGCTGGCAGACATGATGACCAAGCCGATCGCCGCTGTACAATTTGAAAACATTCGCGATCGACTTGGGATCCAAGGTGCCGCAGCTAACGAGTCGAGAGGGAGTGTTGAAAAGACAGCGGCTGTGAAGAAGACACCTCGTCAAGCTGCGTCAAGTGTTGAAGCAAGTGGAAGACCAAGCTTCGCTATACCGGTGGGTACCGGTATGTACCAGTAAGGGCGAAGTCAGGAAATGACGTCACTGGATGACGTCATTGCATGACGTCAGTGGGTGACGTCACTGGATGACGTCACTGCGAATAATAGGCTTAGAGGTAGTATTCAAAGTTGCGAACTAAGTACCTATTATAAATATATATTCACTTTGCGTTTTGCACTCGGACCAAGAAGTCTAAAGTTCATCACGATCCAATCCGAACCGCCTGTTCAGCTTAGTATTTACGACGTAGTTCTTACGGTAATTACCATAGTTGATTAGACGCGTAGGATGATGAGACGCTTCACATGATTTATATGTACACCACATATAAATCATGTAGTAAGTAGTAAGCCCCGATAATCAATAACTTTCGAATCTTCCAACTATTGGGCAAGTGTTTTCTGCTCTACTCTCTTCGGTCTCTCCGCTCCGTTTGCTCCGCTTTCCTCGCTCCGATCTACAATGCAACAGGTTATGAGCCCAAGCGCCATGTCGTCCACCAGCAACGCCTCCATTGACAAGTTCAACGGAGACAATTACGCAACGTGGAGCCGGTACATGCGCGGTGTGTTTTTGACGAAGTCCGTCTGGCACGTTGTCAACCGTGAAGTGACTCCGACTTTCACCGACCCGCGAGCGTCCGATGACTACGTCAAGGCAAGCAACGTCGCGTTTGGTATGATGCTGCTGCACATGAACGCGGACTACCATCATGTGCTGGACAACTGCGAGGAAGCCTGGGTTGCGTGGACAAGTCTGAAGACGCTGTACGGTGGGTCGCAGAAGGCAGGACGCATCTACCTCAAGCGACAACTTTTCAGTATCAAGATGGCTGAAGGCGCGAACGTCATGCATCACTGCAACGAGGTCCTCAACATCTCCGCCAAGCTTAGCGGCATCGGTGCGAAGATGGAAGACGAAGACGTTGCAATTTGTCTGCTACTCAGTCTTCCGAAGAGCTACGAAAATGTGGTGCTCAACATGGAAATGAGCAGCACCGAGCTTCGCACTCAAGATGTGGCGAGAGTCCTGACGAATGAGCATGCCAAGCGTCAAGGAGAAAAAGGGACAACGACAGCGACTACGGTGAAGGCTGAAGATGCAAGCAAGGCATTCAGCGCCGAGCGTGAGCCCTACCAATGCACGTATTGTGGCAAGGTGGGACACACGGTGGATCGTTGCTGGACAAAGCAGAAGAACGAAGGTCGGGGAGCCCGACGCGGCGGCAATGGTCGTGGACGCGGGGCTAACAATGTCCAGTGGGGACATCATAATGAAGGCAATGGCTACGATCGAGTGGCGTTTGCAGTCTCGTTCGAATGTGGAGTTTCGACGAGCAAGGACGTGTCTGGAATGTGGGCCGTCTGTTGCATTGTAGATCGGAGCGAGGAAAGCGGAGCAAACGGAGCGGAGAGACCGAAGAGAGTAGAGCAGAAAACACTTGCCCAATAGTTGGAAGATTCGAAAGTGATTGATTATCGGGGCTTACTACTTACTACATGATTTATATGTGGTGTACATATAAATCATGTGAAGCGTCTCATCATCCTACGCGTCTAATCAACTATGGTAATTACCGTAAGAACTACGTCGTAAATACTAAGCTGAACAGGCGGTTCGGATTGGATCGGTCACGGGTACCAATACTGGTAGAAAACCGATGACCGTCAACACGCCCCCTCAATCCGAATGCTCACGAATCCCGAGAGTCGCCGTCATCTCCTTGTGGCGTGGCCCGTGAAGTCCCTTCGTCATGATGTCCGCTAACATCACCGCAGTTTCACAGTACTTGAGCTTCACTTCACCGCGCTTGACCTCATCACGGATGTGATGGTACTTGATATCAATGTGCTTGGCACGGCCGTGGTTGACTGGGTTCTTCGTCATCTTGATACACGACTGATTGTCTTCATGGATCATGAGTTCCGGTCCTTCTTCATTGGCAGCCATCACGATCTCACAAAGCAGACGATGAATCCACTTGCCCTCTTGAATCGCCAAGCTGAGTGCGATGTATTCGGCTTCACTCGTGGACAACGAAACACTTGGCTGCTTCTTGCTGCCCCAACTGACTGGCGCACCGAGTAGCATGAACGTGTACCCCGATGTTGACTTGCGGTCGGTAAGATCACCAGCCCAATCCGCATCCGAATATCCACGGAAGTCGATCCTTGCACTTGGCTTGTAGCAAATTCCATGCGTCTTGGTGCCTTGTAGGTAGCGAAAGATACGCTTAACTGCAACCCAGTGTTCTTCTTGGGGATTTTCCATGAACCGCGACACATAGCCCACAGCAAACGCAATGTCCGGACGCGTTGCAGTGGTCAGGTGCATCAACGCACCAACAGCTTCGCGAAAAGGAGCATCGACCTTGGTAGTTGCATCACTTGAAACAAGTCGAGAGCTCATGTCGACTGGACTTGCGACTGCCTTGCAATCATCCATGCCAAAGCGCTTGAGGATATCATCGACATACCGACGCTGACATAGTGTCACACTGCCATCTTCACCGTCCAAAAGCTCGATCCCAAGAACAAACGCACACTTGCCGCTGTCCGTCATTTCGAACCGCGTCTTCAGGTCGTTCTTGGTTTGTGCAATCAGCTCGAGCGAGCTTCCAGTCACCAAGACGTCGTCCACGTAGACCAGTATAAACACGCAATGGCCGTCCGAAGTCTTGATGTAGAGACATGGGTCGAAGTCCGATACTTGAAATCCGATGGAGCACACATACTCGTCGAACGTCTCGTTCCACACTCGCGACGCTTGCTTGAGGCCGTAAATTGACTTCACCAATTCCAGGCAGTCGAACGTACTGTCAAGTTCGACGCCTTCAGGAATCACGCAGAACACTTGTTCCTTCATGACGCCATACAGGAAAGCTGTCACCACATCAAGCTGGTCGATGGGCCATCCAAAATGCTTGGAAATTGCGATCACCATTCGCAGCGTCACATACTTGACCACAGGCGAAAACGTCTCCGTGTAGTCGATGCCATACTTTTGGCGGAAACCCTTGGCCACAAGTCGTGCCTTGTACTTCTCGATTGACCCATCCGCCTTGCGCTTGATCTTGAACACCCATTTTGTGCCAATGGCGCGTTGTCCGTTGGGCAGCTTGGCTGCACGAAACACACCGCGAAGTCGCATTGACTCGAGCTCTGCATGAATTGCTTTTCTCCAGTGCACTTGGTCAGGGCCGCTTACTGCTGCTTCAAATGTTGAGGGTTCTGATAAGTCCACTGCTGCTTCAACGGCATTTGCACTCGCACGCCAAAACACAGGCGGTGTTGAATCACCAGAATCCTTCGTTTCTTCGTCTTCTTCTTGTCGTGACGAGTTGTTTTCCGGCGCGCTTGACTCTTCTAGTCCTGGTCGTTGACGCACTGCACGCGGTCGTGGAGCTGCTGTATCTTCATCATTGAGTCGGTTCTTGCGCTTGCCTGTTTGCTTGTACTCCATTTGACGCAGCTCTTCGTCATCAAGATCCAGCAATTCGAAGTCCAGGTCATCGACATCTTCATCAGTGATCGGCAGTTGAAGTCCAAAGGTGGACTCGTCGAAGTTGACATCGCGGCTGATAACCACCTGCCCCGCCTCGATGTCATAAACACGATATGCCTTCGAAACTTCTTCGTAGCCCACGAATATGCCAGCGCGAGCCTTTGGATCCCACTTGAGTCGATTCTCTTTAGGCGTCAGTATGTATGTCTGACACCCGAATGTTCGCATGTGCTTGACGCTTGGTTTCAAGTTGTAGACGATCTCAAACGGGGTCTTGTGCACGACTTTAGGTGACGGCAGTCGATTCTTGACGTAGATGGCCGTCATCGCTGCTTCGGCCCAGAAACACTTGTCCAGTTTGGCATGATGAAGCATGCTGCGGCCGATCGTGACAATAGTCCTAATGGCACGCTCTGCTGTTCCGTTTGTTTGATGTGCATACGGCACCGTTGTCTGCTGTTCAATGCCTTCGTCTTCGTAGAACAGTTGAAGCGAGTTGGTTGCAAACTCGCGAGCTCCGTCGTGTCGCACGAACTTGACCTTCTTACAGAATTGCGTCTGTACCATGGTGATATATTTCCGGATGTAGTCTTCACTCTCGGACTTCACTCGTAGACAAAAGCCCTTCATGCATCCACTGGCTTCGTCGATGATCAGCAGCAAATATTTGCTGCCACCGAGCGAATCCTTTTCCATGGGCCCGCAGATGTCCAGATGAAGTAGCTCAAACGTATCGTAGCTGCGCTTGTCTCGGTTGCTTGGAAATGGTTTTTGGACCATTTTCCCTTGTTGACATCCTCGACATGTAGTTGCTCCACCCGACTTGAGAGGGACTCGCACATCCTTGATCATGTTGGTCGCGATCATCTTGCGAAGTACATCGACTGGAGCATGACCCATTCTCGCATGTAGATCGGCACAACTGGTTCCACTTGTTGTCACATTCGCTGATCGTTGAGTCGTCCGAAGCCAGTAGAGTCCATCCACGAGATCCGCTGTCGCCACCACTTGCTGTGAGTTCTTGAGAGTCACATACATCTTGGACCCGTCAAACACGACTTGAAAGTTGCCATGGCTGTTAATCTGTGGCACCGAGAGCAGGTTCTTGCTCATACTTGGAACATATAGCGCGTTCTTGATTTCGATCTCACGCTCTTCACCGTTGGGCAGAACCACCTTTTCCATGATGGTTCCCACACCCTTGATGGCCACCTTGTTGCCATCAGCCACCAAGAGTTCGCCCTCATTGCGCTCTGCCAAACTTGCGAACTTGGTCTTGTCGTGGCAAATGTGGTGCGTTGCACCACTGTCGACGGCCCACATTCCAGACACGTCCATGCTCGTCGAAACTCCACATTCGAACGAGACTGCAAACGCCACTCGATCGTAGCCATTGCCTTCATCATGATGTCCCCACTGGACATTGTTAGCCCCGCGTCCACGACCATTGCCGCCGCGTCGGGCTCCCCGACCTTCGTTCTTCTGCTTTGTCCAGCAACGATCCACCGTGTGTCCCACCTTGCCACAATACGTGCATTGGTAGGGCTCACGCTCGGCGCTGAATGCCTTGCTTGCATCTTCAGCCTTCACCGTAGTCGCTGTCGTTGTCCCTTTTTCTCCTTGACGCTTGGCATGCTCATTCGTCAGGACTCTCACCACATCTTGAGTGCGAAGCTCGGTGCTGCTCATTTCCATGTTGAGCACCACATTTTCGTAGCTCTTCGGAAGACTGAGTAGCAGACAAATTGCAACGTCTTCGTCTTCCATCTTCGCACCGATGCCGCTAAGCTTGGCGGAGATGTTGAGGACCTCGTTGCAGTGATGCATGACGTTCGCGCCTTCAGCCATCTTGATACTGAAAAGTTGTCGCTTGAGGTAGATGCGTCCTGCCTTCTGCGACCCACCGTACAGCGTCTTCAGACTTGTCCACGCAACCCAGGCTTCCTCGCAGTTGTCCAGCACATGATGGTAGTCCGCGTTCATGTGCAGCAGCATCATACCAAACGCGACGTTGCTTGCCTTGACGTAGTCATCGGACGCTCGCGGGTCGGTGAAAGTCGGAGTCACTTCACGGTTGACAACGTGCCAGACGGACTTCGTCAAAAACACACCGCGCATGTACCGGCTCCACGTTGCGTAATTGTCTCCGTTGAACTTGTCAATGGAGGCGTTGCTGGTGGACGACATGGCGCTTGGGCTCATAACCTGTTGCATTGTAGATCGGAGCGAGGAAAGCGGAGCAAACGGAGCGGAGAGACCGAAGAGAGTAGAGCAGAAAACACTTGCCCAATAGTTGGAAGATTCGAAAGTGATTGATTATCGGGGCTTACTACTTACTACATGATTTATATGTGGTGTACATATAAATCATGTGAAGCGTCTCATCATCCTACGCGTCTAATCAACTATGGTAATTACCGTAAGAACTACGTCGTAAATACTAAGCTGAACAGGCGGTTCGGATTGGATCGGTCACGGTTACCAATACTGGTAGAAAACCGATGACCGTCAACACCATGGGTCGACAGTCGTGTGCAACAGGGCACCACATATTGCCGACGACAAGACCACGTTCGCAAGTTTGGCAGAGCGCAATGAGGGCGAACTCTTGGTGGCTGATGGCATACAAGGTGGCCATCAAGGGTGTGGGAACCACTCATGGAAAAGGTGGTTCTGCCCAACGGTGAAAGCGTGAGATCGAAATCAAGAACGCGCTATATGTTCCAAGTATGAGCAAGAACCTGCTCTCGGTGCCACATATTAACAGCCATGGCAACTTTCAAGTCGTGTTTGACGGGTCCAAGATGCTATGTGACTCTCAAGAACTCACAGCAAGTGGTGGCGACAGCGGATCTCGTGGATGGACTCTACTGGCTTCGGACGACTCAACGATCAGCGCTTGTGACATCATCTTGAACACCCATTTTGTGCCAATGGCGCGTTGTCCGTTGGGCAGCTTGGCTGCACGAAACACACCGCGAAGTCGCATTGACTCGAGCTCTGCATGAATTGCTTTTCTCCAGTGCACTTGGTCAGGGCCGCTTACTGCTGCTTCAAATGTTGAGGGTTCTGATAAGTCCACTGCTGCTTCAACGGCATTTGCACTCGCACGCCAAAACACAGGCGGTGTTGAATCACCAGAATCCTTCGTTTCTTCGTCTTCTTCTTGGCGTGACGAGTTGTTTTCCGGCGCGCTTGACTCTTCTAGTCCTGGTCGTTGACGCACTGCACGCGGTCGTGGAGCTGCTGTATCTTCATCATTGAGTCGGTTCTTGCGCTTGCCTGTTTGCTTGTACTCCATTTGACGCAGCTCTTCGTCATCAAGATCCAGCAATTCGAAGTCCAGGTCATCGACATCTTCATCAGTGATCGGCAGTTGAAGTCCAAAGGTGGACTCGTCGAAGTTGACATCGCGGCTGATAACCACCTGCCCCGCCTCGATGTCATAAACACGATATGCCTTCGAAACTTCTTCGTAGCCCACGAATATGCCAGCGCGAGCCTTTGGTGTTGAAAAGACAGCGGCTGTGAAGAAGACACCTCGTCAAGCTGCGTCAAGTGTTGAAGCAAGTGGAAGACCAAGCTTCGCTATACCGGTGGGTACCGGTATGTACCAGTAAGGGCGAAGTCAGGAAATGACGTCACTGGATGACGTCATTGCATGACGTCAGTGGGTGACGTCACTGGATGACGTCACTGCGAATAATAGGCTTAGAGGTAGTATTCAAAGTTGCGAACTAAGTACCTATTATAAATATATATTCACTTTGCGTTTTGCACTCGGACCAAGAAGTCTAAAGTTCATCAGGTTATGAGCCCAAGTTCGTCAGACTCTGAAACCGCCAACAATTCAAGCTTAGCTGCCATGGACGCCTCCTCCCTCCGCATCTCCAAGTTCGATGGAACTAACTTCCACGCCTGGAAGTTCAAGATGCAGATGGTGCTGGAGGAACGGGACCTATGGGAGGTCGTCAGCGGTGAGATCAAGGCGGAACAGTGCGAGACTCAGTTGGACCAAGCGACGTACAAGAGGAAGTCAAGAAAGGCGATGGCAGTGATCTGTCTAGCCATGGAAGATTCCCAGCTACCGTTGGTCCGGTCGGCAAGTGGTGCATGCGACGCATGGTCAAGGTTGGAAGACCACTTCGAGAAGAAGAGTCTTGCCAACAAGCTGTTCTTGCGCCGTCGCTTCTTCACGACAATGATGGAAGAAGGCGACGATGTGCTCGAACACATCAACAAGCTCAAGACGCTGGCGGAACAGCTAGAAGCGGTGGGGGCTCCAGTCTGCGAGGACGATCTGGTGATCACACTCCTCGGCAGCCTGAGTGACTCGTATCAATTCTTGATCACAGCTTTGGAGTCGCTCTCAGACACTCTTAGCTGGGAGCTCGTGACGTCTCGACTGCTTCATGAAGAAATGAAGCGGAAGGAGCAAGGAAGTAAAGGTGATGAAGCTTCGCAAGGTCAAGCGTTCATCACAAGGGACAATCAGCGCAAAGGGCGACCAGTGAAGAAGTCCTGGCCGTGCCACAATTGCGGAAAGATTGGTCACTGGATGGCGGAGTGCCCCTCGCGCATCCAAGAAAACACGGAGAGACACCGGCCACAGCGTGCTCAAGACAGCGGCGACCGCTATCGATCACAACGTGCAAACGTCGCTCAAGAAGAAGACTCGGGCGACTACCTCTTTTCGATCGGTGAAACGACATCTGCGAAATCGAGCGACATCTGGCTGGTCGACTCCGGGGCGACGCACCACATGACGTGCTCCAAGAAGTTCATGCGAAACTACAAGGGGTTTGACGCTGTGGATGTCCATCTCGCGGATGATGGAATCGTCCAAGCAATCGGCAGTGGGTGTTGAAAAGACAGCGGCTGTGAAGAAGACACCTTGTCAAGCTGCGTCAAGTGTTGAAGCAAGTGGAAGACCAAGCTTCGCTATACCGGTGGGTACCGGTATGTACCAGTAAGGGCGAAGTCAGGAAATGACGTCACTGGATGACGTCATTGCATGACGTCAGTGGGTGACGTCAGTGGGTGACGTCACTGGATGACGTCACTGCGAATAATAGGCTTAGAGGTATGTTGACGGTCATCGGTTTTCTACCAGTATTGGTAACAGTGACCGATCCAATCCGAACCGCCTGTTCAGCTTAGTATTTACGACGTAGTTCTTACGGTAATTACCATAGTTGATTAGACGCGTAGGATGATGAGACGCTTCACATGATTTATATGTACACCACATATAAATCATGTAGTAAGTAGTAAGCCCCGATAATCAATCACTTTCGAATCTTCCAACTATTGGGCAAGTGTTTTCTGCTCTACTCTCTTCGCTCTCTCCGCTCCGTTTGCTCCGCTTTCCTCGCTCCGATCTACAATGCAACAGGTTATGAGCCCAAGCGCCATGTCGTCCACCAGCAACGCCTCCATTGACAAGTTCAACGGAGACAATCACGCAACGTGGAGCCGGTACATGCGCGGTGTGTTTTTGACGAAGTCCGTCTGGCACGTTGTCAACCGTGAAGTGACTCCGACTTTCACCGACCCGCGAGCGTCCGATGACTACGTCAAGGCAAGCAACGTCGCGTTTGGTATGATGCTGCTGCACATGAACGCGGACTACCATCATGTGCTGGACAACTGCGAGGAAGCCTGGGTTGCGTGGACAAGTCTGAAGACGCTGTACGGTGGGTCGCAGAAGGCAGGACGCATCTACCTCAAGCGACAACTTTTCAGTATCAAGATGGCTGAAGGCGCGAACGTCATGCATCACTGCAACGAGGTCCTCAACATCTCCGCCAAGCTTAGCGGCATCGGTGCGAAGATGGAAGACGAAGACGTTGCAATTTGTCTGCTACTCAGTCTTCCGAAGAGCTACGAAAATGTGGTGCTCAACATGGAAATGAGCAGCACCGAGCTTCGCACTCAAGATGTGGTGAGAGTCCTGACGAATGAGCATGCCAAGCGTCAAGGAGAAAAAGGGACAACGACAGCGACTACGGTGAAGGCTGAAGATGCAAGCAAGGCATTCAGCGCCGAGCGTGAGCCCTACCAATGCACGTATTGTGGCAAGGTGGGACACACGGTGGATCGTTGCTGGACAAAGCAGAAGAACGAAGGTCGGGGAGCCCGACGCGGCGGCAATGGTCGTGGACGCGGGGCTAACAATGTCCAGTGGGGACATCATGATGAAGGCAATGGCTACGATCGAGTGGCGTTTGCAGTCTCGTTCGAATGTGGAGTTTCGACGAGCAAGGACGTGTCTGGAATGTGGGCCGTCGACAGTGGTGCAACGCACCACATTTGCCACGACAAGACCAAGTTCGCAAGTTTGGCAGAGCGCAATGAGGGCGAACTTTGGTGGCTGATGGCAACAAGGTGGCCATCAAGGGTGTGGGAACCATCATGGAAAAGGTGGTTCTGCCCAACGGTGAAGAGCGTGAGATCGAAATCAAGAACGCGCTATATGTTCCAAGTATGAGCAAGAACCTGCTCTCGGTGCCACAGATTAACAGCCATGGCAAGTTTCAAGTCGTGTTTGACGGGTCCAAGATGTATGTGACTCTCAAGAACTCACAGCAAGTGGTGGCGACAGCGGATCTCGTGGATGGACTCTACTGGCTTCGGACGACTCAACGATCAGCGAATGTGACAACAAGTGGAACCAGTTGTGCCGATCTACATGCGAGAATGGGTCATGCTACAGTCGACGTGCTTCGCAAGATGGTCTCCAACAACATGATCAAAGATGTGGGAGTGCCTCTCAAGTCAAGTGGATCAGGTACATGTCGAGGATGTCAGCAAGGGAAAATGGTCCAAAACCCATTCCCAAGCAATCGTGACAAGCGCAGCTACGATACGTTTGAGCTACTTCATCTGGACATCTGCGGGCCCATGGAAAAGGATTCGCTCGGTGGCAGCAAATATTTGCTGCTGATCATCGACGAAGCCAGTGGATGCATGAAGGGCTTTTGTCTACGAGTGAAGTCCGAGAGTGAAGACTACATCCGGAAATATATCACCATGGTACAGACGCAATTCTGTAAGAAGGTCAAGTTCGTGCGACACGACGGAGCTCGCGAGTTTGCAACCAACTCGCTTCAACTGTTCTACGAAGACGAAGGCATTGAACAGCAGACAACGGTGCCGTATGCACATCAAACAAACGGAACAGCAGAGCGTGCCATTAGGACTATTGTCACGATCGGCCGCAGCATGCTTCATCATGCCAAACTGGACAAGTGTTTCTGGGCCGAAGCAGCGATGACGGCCATCTACGTCAAGAATCGACTGCCGTCACCTAAAGTCGTGCACAAGACCCCGTTTGAGATCGTCTACAACTTGAAACCAAGCGTCAAGCACATGCGAACATTCGGGTGTCAGACATACATACTGACGCCTAAAGAGAATCGACTCAAGTGGGATCCAAAGGCTCGTGCTGGCATATTCGTGGGCTACGAAGAAGTTTCGAAGGCATATCGTGTTTATGACATCGAGGCGGGGCAGGTGGTTATCAGCCGCGATGTCAACTTCGACGAGTCCACCTTTGGACTTCAACTGCCGATCACTGATGAAGATGTCGATGACCTGACTTCGAATTGCTGGATCTTGATGACGAAGAGCTGCGTCAAATGGAGTACAAGCAAACAGGCAAGCGCAAGAACCGACTCAATGATGAAGATACAGCAGCTCCACGACCGCGTGCAGTGCGTCAACGACCAGGACTAGAAGAGTCAAGCGCGCCGGAAAACAACTCGTCACGCCAAGAAGAAGACGAAGAAACGAAGGATTCTGGTGATTCAACACCGCCTGTGTTTTGGCGTGCGAGTGCAAATGCCGTTGAAGCAGCAGTGGACTTATCAGAACCCTCAACATTTGAAGCAGCAGTAAGCGGCCCTGACCAAGTGCACTGGAGAAAAGCAATTCATGCAGAGCTCGAGTCAATGCGACTTCGCGGTGTGTTTCGTGCAGCCAAGCTGCCCAACGGACAACGCGCCATTGGCACAAAATGGGTGTTCAAGATCAAGCGCAAGGCGGATGGGTCAATCGAGAAGTACAAGGCACGACTTGTGGCCAAGGGTTTCCGCCAAAAGTATGGCATCGACTACACGGAGACGTTTTCGCCTGTGGTCAAGTATGTGACGCTGCGAATGGTGATCGCAATTTCCAAGCATTTTGGATGGCCCATCGACCAGCTTGATGTGGTGACAGCTTTC